GAAATGAGCGCGGCCGTAAATCCCGCTGAGCCCCGTGGGCCTCCTCGGGAAAGGCACAAACGCGAAGGGGCCCCCGCGCAGGGATGGGGTGATGCTGGGCCGGCCGTCCCCTAGAAATGGCGTGAACCACTGGGGTTTGGGTTCAGCGAACGTGGTGGTGATAAACCCGAGAGGCAAAAATAAGCATGGACCACTGAGGTGTGAAGTGGCCTCAGCAATTGCGGGAACAACTGCACTGAGGAGCAGGAGAGAATTTTTTGTTCCTTCTTCTCAAAGTGAAGTATGAATTAAACATACAAATATGTTCTGTACTCGGTTAGCAAAGATTTATGCAAAGCGCTGAGCTCCCACTGTAGAGAAAGGACACGGGGGCTTGTGCGTGTGAATGCTAGTAGCTGGGCAGCAAAGCCTGGTGCCTACTGGTTTGGTCAGCAGTGCACCAGCACTGTTGTGTCTCACTGCTTGTTCTCCTTCTTAAATAAAGAAAACCTGAGGAATTTTTCTCTTGTTCAATCTCTAGTTCGTGGCTGGCGAATCAAGGATCCCTGGCCAGTGGAGAAAGGCAGGCATTGGAGGAGAAGTGTGAAGATTTCTCAGTCAGGAGAAAAAACAGGAACCAGGTTGTTTGGTAGAGAAGCTCTGTCCTCTTGTGCTGGGAAAGCTGGACTTGGTGTTCATTTGTTGTTAAATTCCAAGGAATCCACAGAGCTGACAGGTTCATTTCACTGTGAACCTACAAGAAAAGCTTCCAGTAGAGTGAACTCAAGGTGTAAATATTTAAGAAAGCTGTCTTAATACATGTAGAACTGTCTTCAGTATACTTTATTTTCATCTAGAAGTGATCATTGATCCTTTTCTGTCTAGGTTCTAAGATTTCTCTTGCAGTGAATGTAACTTCCAAATAGCACTTGCACTTTTATCTTTGGGCCCATTTACTCATTAACTAAGCTTTCCAAAGTCTGTCCTTTCAAACCAGGGAATTCCTCCTGTAAACATCCTTTGATTTATCCTCATGATTGATTCATTCAGAGGGATCAATTTACTCAAGGTTATTTCCTGCAGGCAGGTCTCTCCCAGTATTCTCGCTGTTTGTTGTGGTTACTCAAACCTGTTACTTCCCTTTTGAAGAAATACATGTGCTCAACCATTTCCATTAGCAACTGTTTTTCAGCCTAAATCGAGGAGGCCAAAGTGTAACTTCCAAAGAACTTGACGGATGCTTTTGTCAATACCCAAATCTGGTTTGAGCAGCAGCAGAGCTGACTCCTGCCGGTGAAAAGACATGGGCTTTACTCAGTGTTGCCTTGTCATAAAGCAACCCTGTTCAGTCCACGTTATGCCCTCCTATTCTTTTACAGTCTGTAATACTACTGTATGTCACTGTGCTAGTTTTAGTTCATTTTTAAAATAGCTCGTGCTCTTCCTGCTTTTAAATGCTATTCTAGCACATTTCAGTTATCCCTCAATTGACCAGGGTCACATCTTGGACCAGCAGCTTAAGTTTCTTCATTTCATCTGGTGGTAACGATGCAGCAATCTTGGGCCTTCTGGTGGCCCCCAGAAAGGAGAAGAAATTATTTTCTCCCATTCTTTGTAAAACCTCAGACCTTTTTCTTGTGCCTTTTCTGATTGTTTTCTCTCTTTTGACGCTACAAAAACTGGCTACAGCAAAACAAAGGGTGTCGGGGTGGGGGCAGGCTGGATTCCGTAGTTACTGAGAAGCATTGCAGGCATCTGTTTGATACCTAACTGGTGTGCAGGTTTAAACCAACTGCCAGAATTGGGTCAGGAAGGAATTTCTCTTTTGGTTTAGACTGGCAGAGTTCTGCATTTGTAGGAACATCAAAGCATTTTCCCTTATAAAGCCCTTTCCTGTTACAATGATCTTCATCCTCTGATGTGCTCCAAGTTGGATTTGAGGCTGGGATGCTGCAGCGTGCAGGGAGGAAATATTTTTTGCTGAACCAAGTGTCTGGTACACAGGTTCCCTGGGCCTGCAGGGAAAGCAGTTGATGACAGTTGGTCCTTTCCTGTCCTGTTTCTCTTCCAGCTAGGCTCCTCAAGTCAATAACCAAGGTTTTTCTTTCCAGCTATACTCAATTAATGAAAATTTCCTGATGGGTTCACTCACTGCCAGTACTTTCTCCCTGCTGCGCATCCTCCAACCCTCTTAACACTTCTTCAGCAATTGCCTTATCCCTGTTCCAGGTTTCTCCTCCTATTACTAAAACAAGGACATTTACAATGAATGTTATTTTAAGGAGTAAGGGCGTCACTAAATGGGCACATTTGCTTTGATTTCTACCCACAGTTCATGCTACACACATACATTTTCACGAAGTCCCTCCAAGAGGCATTCTGCTGACAGGCAGACATTCCCCAAATTCATCATGTTGCTGTACCTTTGACCTCTTCTCCAGCGACAGAAGGACTTTAATCAAGTATCACCATGAGTGACCATTTCTTTTTTCTCCAGTCTCCTTCCATTTAGGTTAATCTAAGTGAAGTTCTTTGCCCAGGAAACAATTCTAGTTAACTCTCGCACTTGAAGTCAAGTCTTTCAGAACTAGAATTATTCTGAAGACCCAGTTATACAGATCTAATCCTATGACCGTGTCTCAGTTCTCAGTTGACGAAACATGGTCTCCGAGTGTTTGTTTACTTAAACATTTAGCTTAAGAAATGTGACTTGGACTGAGAGGAGAAAACAAGGATATTCTTTTTGAAATACGCAATTATATACAGCGTGTAAAATCTCAGGGTTGTTGGCTACCCTCTTCCTGGCTGGAGGTGGAGAAGATAAACTTCCAATTGCAATGGCTTTGTAAGGGGCTGTGTTTTCCAAGTGTCAGTGTGCTGTTAGTTCAGGGATGAGTTTAGTGGGCGAGTCTGCAGCAAGCAAAGTGATAGTACGAGGGGTAAGTCTGATGTCTTCCCAAAGTTTCCTGCAAGATCTGTAGGGGCAGGGTGCTAGCAAGAAAGGGATTAGCACGTCAGGGCATTTCATGAGGACAAGAAGCGATTAGCAGAGGAGAGGTATTATCCTCCCTGTGTGCTGTCCAGCATGCAGACAGCTGAGGTCAGCTATTCTCTGCAGCCAAACCAGTGGAATAATAGGTCTATTAAAGTTTGAAAATTTTCTTCATTTTACCAAGAACATAACTTTTTAGCCTTCCTCTTTATATCGTACCTCATCTTCAGCATTTTGGCCAGGAAGCACGCATTGGAATGTTGGCCCCTGGTGACCCTCATATTGTCTCTTACCTCCCAATCATAGGAGAATTCTCCTCATCACAGAGCAGAGATCAAAAGGGGAAAATATATTGCTAAAAATTAAAGGGTAGTTAGGAAGACGCGAGAATGCAGTTATAGCTTTGAAGTATTTTTTTCCCCTGCATTTCCTCATGTGGCTTAACCATTTCTCTTCCCTCCCTCCTCTGACCACTTCCTTCCCTGAAGCAAACCCTGCAGGTGTCTGTGAGACTCTTGGCCTGCAGCCACTGCTCCAATTCCCCCCACTGACTCCGCTCCCAGCCCATATTAATACTTTTCCCAATTTGATACCTTCCTGTCACAGTTTGAATACCTTTCTCCTCTTCCCCAATACCTAACAAAAGGGCTAAGGCTTTGAGATGCCCAGGTGCCACGCAAACAAGAGGGAGAAGAGATCTGTCCTGCCCCAACCCTGCCCTCCCACCACCGCTCTGCATATAAGCTAAAGGACTGATTGCCAGCTAACCCAGTACGGACATGGGAATCTCAGCAGGACACTTAACCGAACTTCACTCGTTGTACAGTTGAATAAAAGCCCATTTAATTTCAAATTAAAATCTTCCAGACCACTGGTCCAGAGAAGGCAGGCTGTCTGGTGCAGATCTGATGGCTGTTCTCCAGAATGCAGACTCCCATTTGCTCGTGGGGCAGGTGTGACGAAGTTTCCTGGAGGAACAGTTGTCCTGCTGCAGATGCAGCAATAACAGACCTCTAAAATTTCTGTGGTTTCATTCTCAGCCAGAGTTGCATCACCAATATTTAATTCAAAATGCTGAAATCACTTTTGCCAGTGATCCTGATGAAGAGGGAGTTAGGTGTGTTCTGGGCACTGTCGTCTTTTTTTTCCTCATATGCTTCTCCCAGCCACAGGTAACCAGACCAATTAAGAATAAGGGTGAATAAAACTAGACTCTCTTCCAAGTAGCTTTTTCATAGCAGATCAAGGCTACAAAGTCAGTCGAATGTCACCCACAGTCCTATGAGGAGAGTCCCAGCAAAAAGAAAGCAGGATAGTTGGAACCAGAAGGACCCTTACTCTGGTTCAAAGTCCTGGCTTGGCTGGATAGGTTAGAACCGAGGAGCTCCGTAATCATCTGGCATCCTCTCAATATTGTATCTGAGAAAGAAAGAGGCAAAAACCTATGAAGACAACCTGCTCCACATTGCTCCCCTCCCCATGCAGCAACAGGCTTACAAGTAGAATGAACCGCAAGAAGCTTTGTTGTATTTCTGTTTGCAGCTCACATCCCCAGGAAGAGAAATATTACTTCGAAAAGGGAAAAGCCTTCATAAGGTTGCTGCTATCCTTCACCTCCAACTGAGAAATCGGGGATCCTGGAAACTCACCATCTCCAGAGAAGGAAAAAAATGGTGGTTTTTTAAGAACTGACTCAGGATTCAAGAGCAGACAAGCACAGAGAATAAAACTTGGACCATTCAACTTGCAATTCATGGCCACAGTGAATAAGGGGCAAAGACAAGAGAAAAATCTGAGCCACATTCTAATTATAGATCGGGTTAAACTTTACAGCCTCCTGATTTCTGACATACTGCTCTGTCTGCATGTTACTAAACTCATTATCTCCACTGCTACCACAATTGCCTTGTTTCCCATATCTCTCCCATCCCACCTGAAGACTTTGGCCCTTTTCTTTCCACATCTTGACTTCTCTCCTTACCACACTACCAAACACATCTACCATACTCTGAAACAATTTGTCATAGGTTTGAGGCATGATAAATCTCCTGGGCTGTACATTATATAGAAGAAATAATAAAACACTGGATATGACAAAGGTGAGTAAATTCTCCTTGGTCTATGCTTTATGAGTGTTTTGGAAGGAAGAGGAAATGAATTTAAGCAAACATTTTTACAGTAGATCACTGGTCCTGTTGAATAAATAAGGAAATAGAGACAGTGCTTGCAGACGCTGGAAAAATCTGTTGCGTTGAAATTGCTCCTTTTGAGTTGGTTTTTGCTGAGAAGCAAATTCAATCTCCTAGCTGATGGTACACAAAGCTACCAAATAGAATATGGAACAAGAATGGTTCTTTTCCTCAGGAACCTCTAGAATGTATGTGCCTGATAGTCCTGCTGCTGCTGGTAAGCAAAATTCATCTGTGGAAACACTGGCCTTGACAAAACTAGTCTTCTAGGTAAAAGCAAGTGAATATGCAGACTGCAACAAAAGTGGGTCTGCGACCAGTCTCTCCCCAGCAGCAGCTGTACTCTACTTTGTGCGAACACAAGGCCCTTTACTGCACTAGAGACAACACAGGAGAGAAATACATGGTGACAGAGGCCCTGCTGGGCAAGCGTTGTACCAGGGCAGTCTTCCTCCCGGTCACAGGACCCTTACCTGTGCCTGGAAATGTACATTATAGGCACTCCTGGGATTTTTCGAATTCTCCGCTTGAGCTCTTTATCCACTGTGGCCACAATGTAACATTTGTGCTGTAAAAAAAGAGATCAGTGAGATTCAACACCAGTGCACCTGCGGGGACAAAGCTGATCAGAAGCTCCTACGCAGTAACCTCATTTAACACAAGAGGGCTAAAAGTCCTTAGCGGGGCATTACTAGGACTTGCACAGAATTCCACAGGTAACGTCCTTCTGCTCATCACCACAGACCCACAAAAATATCCAAAGTCTGTCTGGCCTTCCCAGCTCACAGCTTTCCCACCCCAAGTGCTTCTTGATGCTGTCCTATACAACAAGAATGCTCTGGGAACACTATATCTTGCTTCAAATAAAGCTGTGCTAGGGAACTGAAACTGCCCCTTTGTGGGAATTAAGTCATGAGAAACTAGGAGGCTTCGGGCACTTTTAGTGTGTTAGCACAGTATGGAAAATTTCAGGAACAGAAATACCTGAGTGACCCTCTGTACCAAGCAGTCATCTGCATAGGTTCCTTTGTGCATGCACGGCAAGCGTTCAAACCGAGGGTCCTTGGCAATTCTGTGGGGACATATAAGGCAGCATCACAGCAATCAGAGCAGAGCGCACAGTAACACAGCATG